CTGGTTTGCCCTGTGCTGGGCTCAGGGGGGCTGTGGGGGTGCGGGGCCAAGCAGGGCACCAGCGGGGCAGCCCCAGGGCAGCCCGGGGTGCAAAGTTCTTCCCAATGACCGAGCAGGGCTGGCGGCCCCTTCCCCAGCTCCATCGGGCACTGCTGCAGAGGACCCAGAGTTTCCTCTGGCACGGGGAGCTGACAGATGCTGTTTGGGGGGCTACAAATCAGAGCTGAAAAGCTGGGGCTGGACAGCCTGTCTGGGAACTCGTAACCTGAGCCCCAGGAAAGGAGGACTCAGGAAAGCGCTTTCAGCAATCATATTCATCATCTTCAGCTCAGACTCATTAGGCTCGCGGAGCCCAGCCCCGCCACCGCCAACGCCTCCCGCACGCAGATAGAGCCGCTGGCTCAGACAAATAAATGCTTCCAGCTTCCCGGTGGATGCGGCAGGTCAGGGAGCATCTGATGCCAATTACCCGTGGTGTAGGGTTCCCCGGCCGCGCTCGCCAGCACCACGCAGCGAGGCGGCTCCCGCGCCCCAGCCCTCCTACCCGGGTCTGCCCTGGCCACGGGGGCGCTTGGCCGCTTCCACGGCCCCTCCAGTTTGGAGCGGCCCCGTGGATCACCCTCTGCTCCCCGTGTCAGGAGCCGTGGGGGCAGCCAAGGAGGGGGAGTTTTAATCTCCCTTCGCAGGGGGAAGAGCAGCCCTGTGCCACCCATGTTTTGGGCTCCTTCATCCTAGGGACCAGTGCAGGGATCACCCACCTGAGCGTTTCAGGGATGCTTGAAGGCCACCTCCCCACATGGCCATCCCCACCGTGGCTGGCACAGCACTGGGCACCAGCGTGTCACTGCTGGGGTTTAACTCCCACGGGTCACGGCCTCCCAGGCAGTCCTCGTCACACACAAGGCTGGAGAGCTGCCCTGGCTGGTGCGGCAGGTTTGGAGCCATCCCAGACAAGGGTCTGGCAGAGCCCCGGGTGCTGGGCACCCACTTCAGCAAGCGGTGGGAGGTGTGTTGGGGCTGTGCATCCCCCTGTGACACCATGTGGGTGCCCTGCGCCCCGCTGTCCCCGCCACACGTGGGTCCCAGGGACACCCCTGGGGCGGCACATCCCCATCTCAGGGTCCGAGCAGAGGGGAGCTGTGGGACCCTCCATCGGGTTTAGGTCCAAAATTAAAACAGACCTTGGAAACCCACAGATGGGACTGGGAAGGGACCCCAGGGTCCCCATCCGGAGCGGTGAGGGCAGCCACACAGCCACGCAGCCTTGCCGACGCTGCAGTGAGATGGGCGCAGGCAGCTCTGCTCGCCCAGCAGCTCTTAGGGGCAGCTGCACGTTTCCACTTCTCCGGGCTCAGGCCAGCCTGGATGTCCTTAATTGCCCAAAGGTCGTTGTCCCCGAGCCCGGGGCCACGTGTCGGAGGGACCCTGGGCAGGAACCTGACACGGACGCGAGTCATTCGGGATCAACGCTGGGGGCCAGGAAATTGCAACGGACGTGAACCTAAATACGCCGCACGTCCCCCCAGGTAATCAGTGCCCGGGCCAGATTCCGGCTGACAGCTTAAATGCCTTAATTCCTCGGCCGCTGCGGTTCGAGGGGGTCCCGTGTGCCACGGGCTTCTCCCAAACCGACTCTGAGCTGGAGGTTTGTCTGTAATTGGAGGCACGTTGCATTCCCCTGAAAGTAGCCAGGTCCCGCTGGAGGGGGGCTGCGGGAAGGCAGCCATTTCCCTTATGGAATTATTTACCTGATTAGAGAGTTTATTTTATCAAAATTGCTTCAGAATGGGGCTGCTCAGTGTGTCCAGCACAGGGAACTCCCCGGTGGGGCTGGCGGCCTGGAGACAGGTAATTTGTGTGCTTAATGGTACTAATCCACCAGGCAATTGCACCAATAGATTTCAGGGCTGCAAAGTGCTCTGTTCCCATTAATTAAAAATCTGTTAAGAAGATTAGCACATAAAGGTATCAAAAGAAACCCAGGAGTTTCTTTCCCCACCAGCCCCCAAAGGCTAGTGTGGGAGTGCTGGATTGCTCACATTAGCAGAAAAATTATTCTTTCAAAGGTAAGGGCTTCGCATCCAAAGTAACCGCTGACAGTTTTCCCTGACTTCCCTACCAAGAGGTCCTTTATGTTTAATTATAGTTTGTTTAAATTAGCCCTGATTGTTTGCCTGGAGTGTTAGCTTAAATATATTTCGAACGTGTGGTTCCCCTGCGCCTCGCTGGTGCGGTGCGAGGAGGGCAGCCCCCGGCCGAGCCCCGGGCCCTGGCAGGTGCCCCCACCGTGGGGCTGATGCTCGGGGCCACCCGGGAGGAGACGGGGGTCCGGGGGGGGTCCGGACTTGGCATCCCCAGGTTGAGAAGGTCACACCATGGTGGGACCCACCATCGGCAGGGGCTCAGCCACCAAACCCAGCTCTGCAGCAGAGGCTGGGCTGCGGTGGGCACCTCCCCGGCACCGTGGTCTGCCCAGACCCCACCAGCGGCTCCTCCGGCAGCAGGAGCCCCGCGCTGTCACCACCTGAACCCCGCGGACACCCCAATTCCGCCGCGCACCGCCGCTGCCGGCCAGCTCGGCCCTGCTCAGCCTCGCGCTCAGCGGCCGGTGCCGCTCCTGGCCTTTGTCCACAGCCAGACACTGAGCAAAACAAAAGCAAATCTCCCGGCAGCTGAAGGTGCCATTTTTACGGCTCGGCTGAACGAGGAAGTATTTTTTGATCTCTTAAAAATCCTGAATATTATCTGACAGTTTATCTTGTTTCTCCGCATCCGTGTCTTTGCAGCAACGCCAGCTCATTTACATGTGTATTGCGCCTGCCTCCACGGGTGCTGAGGTCAATTGAAACTCAAGAAAAGAGGAGAAATTTATGCAAAACTGTTGATTGCATTTGTATGTAATGAAATCATCCAATATTCATCTGACTATAGACTCTAATCTGAAAGGAGAAGTGAAGGACATAAGAGTCACTGGAAAGCAATAATGAGCTTCTGTAGTGATTAAAAAAGCACTTGAGCTTTCTGAAAATCCAGCCAGAAATCGTGTCTAATCAACACGGAATATAGGAGGCAGAGATTACATTGATACATTTTGCAAAGCTCACTGTTGAAAATGTATGCGAGCTGTAAACTCTGACATGCCATCCATGGTCTGTTTTATACAAATCCGGGCGGCACACAATCAGCGCCCGGGCTCGTCCCTGGCACAAAGCAATCTTGGTGTCTCTGCTCGATGACTCACAAGGAGCGCAATCACATCTATTTTGAAGAGCAATGTTGGTTTTTAACTATGTCGAGAGCTTCCAGCTTCCTTGGAGTTTTTCCTTCCTTTCGCCTCCGCGTTGTGTTTTCCCGCGGCCGCGGGGCTCGGTCCGGGAGGCAGCGGGAGGCTGGTGCCCGCCCCGGTCCCTGCCACAACCCCCTCCCCGGTGTGGCTGCCCCGGTTCAGTGGCTCAGAGCAAACCGAGGTGTCGTGGCAGAGCCGAGCGTGACCGTCCGTGCGGCCCCGGGAGGGGCGCGGGTCTCTGCGGGGGGTGCGATGAGCGGGGACATGCACAGGGCTACCCCTTGTGCTGGGAGCGTGACCCCTTGGGGACCACCAGCCCGTGGCAGCGCTCGCCAGGTGGGAACCTGATGGTGCCTCAGATCCACACGTGATCCACACAGAGGGCTCCCGGCGAGAGCAGCAGGGCCCGGAGAGCCCAGGGTACAGCTCAGGGGGGGTCCAGCCACGGCCCTCCCTTGCCCCCTGCCCTGTCCTGCACCACATTTGCTGCTGAGGCCAAAGTGGCGTCACTGCCATCAGAGCCACACTACACACATTTTCTGGCCCATGGTCCCTTTCCCTGCAGGGTTATTCAGCGCAGCTGGAGCTCCTTCCCCTCCCACCAACAGCATCAGCTGCAGCTTCTTATCAGCTCTGGGTGCAAGCCAGGCTGGAGCCAAGTTCCTCCTGCTGATGCTGGAGGAGGAAGCTTTTGGAGCAGGCAGGCCTTGTGCTGCAGCTCCTGGAGTGGAGCAGCAGGTGATTTATGCAGCAAAAGGCAAAGTGGGACCTGTCCAGAGCCAGCCTGTGCCAGCTGGCTGCAGTCACAGTGAGTGTCTGTCCTCTCTCTCCTGGGTGGTTTTTATGGTGGCCCATGGCAGGCGGGGGGTGGCCTCCTGGGCCAGCACGCTGCCCCGCACCTGGCCCTGTGCGGCTGGAAGGTGCTGGGGCTGCAGGTGGTGGTTTTGTCCCCGGTCCTGCGGCGTGAGGTCCCACAGCGAGCAGGACGGGCTGCAGTGGCACCGCTCTGGGGGCTCACGCGCTGCTTTGCCGGTCCCAGGGGGGAGAGCAGCATCCGTGGGGGCTGCGGCTGCTCCTGGCTGATGTGGAGCACGGGGTGGGGGGTGAGGTGAGGATGCAAACAGACCTACCAAACCCTCCCCTGCCACGGGGCTGTCAGCTGCGGCCTCTTAGAGAACAGGCCTCTGCCTTTTTTTCCTATTTAAAAGCTATTTTTGCACCTGGTTTTGCCTCAGTGGTGTGCCCAGCTCCGGGCCCCTCCCGCTGCCTCCCAAAGGCACCAGGCACAGCGAGGGACGAGCGGCTCTGTCTCCTGCCTGGCGCTGGGGCAGTTCTCCCACTGTTTTAATTCATGTGAGGTGGAGTGAGATGCTAGGGGGTAAGGAATAAATAGTTGGTGAAATTCCTCCATGCAGTGACCCCCTGCAGCCCCGCTGCCCGCCTCCACCAGCCCATAGCCACCACCTCAAAGAGCTGGAGAAGGGGAAGAGGCCGGAGAAGCCAGCGTGGGCAGCGCCAGCCCTGCCTGTGCCTGCGCCCGCAGCAGCTTCTCCACCTGCCCTGGCTCAGACAAACACCCGGCTCTGCAGCTGCTGCTCCGGGGCAGGTACCAGGGACACCCTCCTCAAACTCAGGCTGTTGCTGGGATGCTGAGGCTGCAACAACAGCAAAAAAAAGCCTAGTTGATAAATGTCAAAAGAAATAATCGGCTGAAAGCAATTTACCGAGCCATGTAACTGCCCTGGGCTCGCCATTTTCCTTTATTCATTTATCATGGTAAGTGCTTTGGCCAAAATACACAAAGCAGAGAAATTGTTGACATGTGGGGCCCTAGCAGAACAAATCCTTCATCCTCCTTCCCCTCCCCACTGCATACAAACTAACTTTTTGGGAGTTGTTTATTTAAGGACTGCAGAGCACTCTGTGCTCTTTGAACCCCAGTGCCTTGGGAGCGGGGCTGCGGGGCTGGCCGCCACCTTCCCTCCTCTCGCCATCCCCGGGGCTGCGGGGAGGCCGCTTGCTGCTGTCGGGAAGTACCTGCTGGTGGTGAGGAGTTGAGCTGCACGGTGTCCTCAGGACCCTGTTCTGCTTCTACCTCCTCCACCCCCTAAAATATGGTACTAGTGGCTCGCGTGGGTGTTTTGGAACTGGTCAGAGAGGGCAGATGCTGGTTTTGGAAAGTTCCTGTGTTGGCTTTTGGTCTTGGTCCTGGCTAAAACAGCCACGCTGACAGCGCTGGTTTCTGTTCTCCATCCACAAAGCCTTGGGAACCACAAAGCCCAGCTCCCCGCCCACCCTGCACCCATCGGTGTTGAGCTCCCTCGGGCCCGCTGGGCTGCCGGCAGCTCTGCTTCTTTTGGGACAGGTAAACCCAGGGGGACACAGCGAGCAGGAACTGGCTGATCCGAGGCTGCTCCTCCACATCTCATTCTCACTTTATTTTAAGAAAAAAGAACTGTCGAGGTTCAGAGCAGGACAGCGCAGGTTCCCCTTGCGCGTGGTCCTCGCCTCTGCGAGGTGCTGGGGCGCAAACGGGCCGGTCCTCCTGCGCCTCAGCTTCCGTGTGGGAGCCCTTCCAGCAGCCTCCAGTCCTCCCTCCTGCCATTTTATTTTTTTAATCTTAGTTCACCCGGTTCTGTTGCCACCTGGATGAAGAACAGTGAGGAGTTTCCCCGCTCCCTCCAGTACAATCCAAGGAGGGGAATGGGAGCAGCCAAAGCACAGAGCTGCTCCGGAGGTCTGGCAGAGCCCCCCCAGAGGCTGTGACTGCAGGCAGGGGTGCTGCCGGCGTGCCTGGCTGCCTGCTCTTACTTGGGGAGGGAGTGTGTCCATCGGGACGGCGCTTATCCAAGCAGCTCCTTGGTCTTGGCTGCCAGCAGCTTGTCCATCTCCGCTGTAGTGCTGTCAGTCATTTGCTGGATCTGTGGTAACACAGTACAAGCCTGAGTCGTATGGTAGGTGATGCCAGAGTTTAGAGGGAAAGGAGTGACTACATCACCTACTGAAACAAAGCCTAAAGTCCTAATAAACCCCAAAATAGTGCTGGGGCAAAAAGTGGCTCTTCCTGGGGGCTCCCACCAGCCCTCAGTGATGCTGTGCCAGCATTGCATCTGAACAGCGAGAAGAGGGACTGGCCAGAGGCTCCGCAGAGACGCGCAACACAAACTCTTGTCTGAGCTTCACAAGTGACTTGGTCAGATCCTTATTTAACAGAGTGACTTCAGGGGAAGGCAGAGTTAGAGACCTGCTGGTGTTGGCACCAGAGAATCTCTTCTTACCTCGCTGCCTCCTGCAATCTTTCCGCTACTAGAACTAGGTAATAGCAGGAGCGCAGCGTTATTGCACGCTACGAACTCACACACCAAGTAACAGATGTTTGTTTCTTGTAAAAAGAAATAAATGGTGATTTGTTAAAGCCCTGCCCAGAGATCAGGTCTTCTGGCAAGCATGTAAACAGGCCCAAAATGTGCGTGCACCTCTCTGAGTGAGTGCAGATAAAGGTTGGAGCACATCGGGGTGGGGGGGGTTATGCACTACTTTTACAGGACTGATTAAGATGCGCTCGCTCCCAGGGTCCGAGGTATATGATGATGACCTTTCCTCATGCTGAAAAATCTGGGTACAAGCAAAAAATTAAGACTTGAGACGCTACCTCTCCAAATACAGAAAACCATCTGTCTGCTCTGGGAGAACTCCTTCCCAACAGGATTCAGTTACAATAGCATGGCCATTTTTCCTGCTCGCACAAATGCTCTGTATATCAATGTTTATTTTTGTGAGCACACAGAGAACTGTCCCGAAGCATTTGCAATGTATCTAACTTTAGCTGTTAATAAACAAACAGCTAAAAAGTAATGGCCTGCCTTCACAGGCATCAATTCAGCAAAACACTTAGGCTTGTGCCTGAGTTTATGCCCAAGTAATTGACTTTAGTGACATCTGCTCTTAGGGAATTAGGCATGTGCTTAAGTATTTTCCTGAATTGGAGCCAAAAACTCCTAACAGAGATAATCTTGCTAGCCTTTTCATTAATAACAAACTGGAGCAATCCTCATTAACACCAGCTGTTTCGCAGTGGCCAGGCGCTGTGTAAATGGTGGTAACGTTGGGGACGTGGGTTGGTTTGCGCAACAATCCCTCGTAGTATGAAAACTCTTGGGGAACATTTTTTCCCGTGTCAGCTTGCAGTGGTTCGTATCATAAATTTGCCTTTGAGATTGAAGCCCCAAATTTTGCAAAGAGAAAGCAAACACAACAGCCATTGCCAACTCAAAAAATCCAGCCCCGGGCCACCCGTTCCCCAGGTGGGTTCTCAGTGCTGGAGATTTGTCAGCAAGAGCTGGGACAAACACACCACTGAGCTGTGAAACATCATCATATGGCAGAAAGGAAAAAAAAAAAATTTACCTGCTTTTCTAGCATCCAGATGGTATCTTCAGACACTTGGTTCTTGAACTTCTTTATCTGGTTGATGTTTTTGTTTCGCACCTTTCTCAGGGCCTCTTTGGACTTGTTGGTGGACTGCTTGGCGAGCTTGGCCAGGTTCTCCCTGTGCTCTCTCGTTACCCTAGCAGTGTGGGGAAAGAAAAAAAAAAAAAACACCAAAAGGAAAAAGTGTCACGTGTAGCCCACCCAGATTTATGTTCTGCGATGGAGTTCAGGTAGATGCTGCAATCCTCTCGCTGCCTCCAACTGGCCTAGACTTGCTCCGTGTGGAGGTTCTATGTCACAAGGGCAGAGGGACTTGACAGCTCAGGGCATTTTTTTTTTTTTTTTTGTCAGGCTTTGGTCCACCTGAGTGAACTGGCCACCTTCGTGCAGCATCGCCAGGGCAGCGCACCCCAGGGAAGCAAGTCGTGAGCCCAGAACAGAAAATTTTCAGCACAGCCCTAAGCTGAGGGACTTGGACTGATTCTTACTTGTTTTATAGTTGTCACTGCAGTGCCTGAAAGTTGTGCTGAAACGTTCAGGCTTTCCTGTTTCCTGCTGCCAAAGCATCTGTGGGAAAGAGGCAAAATCCAGCTCCAGACCTGAGAGATGGAGCTAAAATGTGTAATCCTGCAAAGCCGGGAGGAAACCTTCACCCCTTCCTGAAACTTGGTATTATCTCCCTGCAACTGAATTATATATCTGGAAGCTACAGCACTTACATTTTACTCAACCTTACTCCAGCTCATCACGACCAGGCTTTTTCATCAAGATGATGTGAACACCCAGTTTGACAAGAAGATGCTGCTAGATGTGGCTAGCCACAGGTAACCCGGCCCAGGAGAACTTCAGCTCCACCTTCCCCCCAACACGGGGCCACTTACTGCTGGGGTGCCACAAGAAAATCCTCAACTTTCCATCCCAAACTAAAAACTGCAGGTGATGAGGGAGTCCGGCCATCTGAACAAGGCACAGGAATAGCTGACGTGTCACCTCAGCGCCGGTAATGCTCCAGCACCTACAGCTGATCACTGTCAACATCAACTGCTAGTGCTTAACAATAATATTTTCATTATTTTCATGCCTAGTGAAGTTTCTAGACTGCCTTGAGAATGAGAAACCCCGGTGCACTCCCCGAGCCTCGCTAGCAAGAGAGCGCCCGTCTGTTCACAGAAGATATTGCAAAATAAACATTTCACAGGAGTATTTAGAAATTGGCTGCAACAGCCTGGGTCACCAAAACACTGAGGCCAAGACTCTTCCTGCAGAGAGCTCAGGAAACGTGGGGCTCGGGCTCCCGGGGCAGCGCCAGCTCTGCCCCCGCCCGGGCGCGTGTTGCGGGGAGGCTGCGGGGGCCCGGGCGGCCCCTCGGCCCTTCCCCAGCCTGGGCACGGCCCAGCCGGCCGCGCGTGTGCCGACACCTTCCCGCGACGCCGGGTCGCGCGTGGCAGGTCTCTGCAGAGGCACTTGGCCTCTGGCCAGTTATCTTTCTTGCGTGGCTTCCCAGAACTGGTTGGTAATGACGGGAATTTGGAATCGCTAGAAGAGCCGACAGACCCAGGGAGCAGCGACCCGCCCGTGGTGCCCCCGCGCAGGCACCGGCTCG